CTTTGCTATTGGAGTAAGATGGATGCGGTTTTCGCGAACGCTGGCTACTTTTTTATCAAACGAAAGATGGCGCTAAAAAATAATAATAATAATAATAAAAATATTTATTGCGTAATAAAATAAAATACAAAATACATTATTACACAAGCGGACATTCGCTCAAGCGTTCTTCTATGTTGCCTTAACATAATATATAGCTAAGCTATACACTATACACACTAAACAGCTTTTAAAACTCATCAACAAAAGTACACTGGGGGTTCATAGTATTATTACAACATTTCAAGTATTGAAATATCTTTCAAATATAATTTTAACAGAATTGTCATCGCCCTTTTTGTTTTTCAGATACAAGGTGTTTTTGAAAATGTTGCATTTCGGGCATTGAGGTAGAATAATAAGGAAACGAAATGGGGAGAAAAAAGTGTATTCAGTTCCGCCATATTGTTACTACATTTCTGTCTGAGAGTCTGTCACTTTTGTCATAACACGTTAGAATTTCATCAGGTCTACATTTTCCATCCGAAGATTTTTCTAAATGCGAAGAAGTGATAGTATTTAAATTATGAACTAAATAGTCCAAACATACGTTTTTTCAAATGATACACCCTATATATTATAAACTCATTGGATAGCTCTGCTTTTGCTGATTTCAATGATATAAAAGTTCGATAGGTCTATCTCTAACCGAGTCTCTAAAAGTTTTCCAGCAAAAAAAATTGATCTGTTTTTGTCATAAGAAACAATGTGTTAGAAAGAGACCTTTCTCATTTTCCTTACAGATGCAATGTCCTTTTTTTTAAAATTGTTTCTTATGACAAAACAGACATAGGTAATAGAGACAAAACAGACATAGGTAATAGAGACGCACCTATAGATTTTTATGACATTGAAATCAACAAAAGCAGATGGGTACATTCAGATGGTGCCTAAGCTCAACCACTTAGCAGGGACTTTATTCCCGAAACCGAGGAACTGCCATAGAATAAGAACAGCGTTTTCATGAGACCGATTGCTCAGTCATTGTCAGTGTTATGAAAATATGAATACGGACGACGAAGACAGAACCTTCGTTCTCATGAGAACGCTGCTTCTCTGTTTCAAGAATAAAGTCCCTGCTGAGTGGCTGAACTTAGCCGCTGGCACCGCCTGAATGTACCCAATGAGTTAATAATATACAGGGTGTTTTATTCGAAACAATGTATGGTTGGTTGTTGACTTTGCCACTGGAATCTATGTAGAATGATCTATAATCTATAAAAACCCGTTGTCACCTTCTCGATAACTTATGAGAGAACCGAGATACAAGGGATGTCAAAAAAGGAAAATTTTCAAATTTGTATCTGAAAAACGAAAAGGGCAATGACAATTTTGTTGACGGCATCTTTTATTTGACAGAGAAGTAGCCAACGTTCGCGTAAACCGCATTCTTCTAACTTCAACAACAACTGAGTTGTACAACCAAAATGGGAGTAATGGGACACCCTGTACATTGTGCAATTTGGCAATCAGTGTACACATTTTGAGTCAGCTATCCCTTCGCCTATACCCAAGATCCTTGCTAAGATCGAAACCACTCATACCACAGAATAGTGTAATTTCTGTAAAGCGGTAGTAATGGCACAGTAAAAATTTTCGACTTCGTTATGATGCCCCTAACTTGATATAGGTAGCGTTGCTAATGGCATGAGTCATTGACAATAATTTAGATCTCGACCTCTAGTACATGGGTACTGAAATCATGAAATCCGTGTGAATTTAGTAAAATCACATTTACCCTTGCGAAATCAATGTAAATCAGAGAAATCAATGAAATTTACAAAATCAAGTGAAATCAGCAAAATCAAGTAAAATCAAATATTATCTGAAAAAATCGTTGAAATCAAGTGAAATCATGAAACTTTACCAAACCTAATTTCTAATTTCACTGATTTCCATTAAAGTAATGAAAATCAGAAATCAGGTGTACAAAATACTAGGAAGTGTCACACCCCTCGACTTACTATATATCCTAGAAGTTTGATCCCACTAATTATTAACACCCTGTATAAACCTACAAGGTTTGATTTGAATGACCACACGACATGACAAATTTATGACATGACTTTTCCTAACTTGCAGGGTGGTCCAATTATGAAGCTACACCCATTTTTCCCCTCTAACAAAAAAAAAAGGCTATAGATCCAATTTAATTATGGGTTTGGGAACTCTATTTTATCTACGTACTGGGGTTCTAAACGTCAAATCCGTACCAACACTTGTCACAACAGGATTATCGTGATAAACATCTTGCTGAAGCTCGAGTGGGCTTTGAGGAAGACTTCTCCCTACCGGAGACTTATTGTCTATATCAAAGTTTTTCCCTGAATGACAAGCAACATCATCCGCTTCCGAAATAGATGTAGTAGAAAGTTGAGGTAATTTAGTAGGTGACCGCTCAGATGCAGCGTTGCCAGCTTCAGTATAAAAGTACAGAAATTAATACATTTTAACCATATTCAGTATACGTCAGTACTACATTTTATGTTTCAATACATTTTTACAAATATCCTAAATTTTTTCTTACTGCTCCAACCTACTCCGGCCGGCCGGAAATGAATTATGGAACGTAACGTGATTTTGGTCCCTAATGTAACCTTGCTGCTGGCTGTCGGCTATCAGTAAGGAAGCATATTCTTTTTTCCACCGGTGAACCGACCAATGAGATGTCTAATGCAAATCTCCACACCAGATGTGTCATCAAGTTACCCAGTACCAGGCAACCTATTAAATAACTCTGGGACCCTTGGGTCTAGGCTATACAGGGATTTGGAATTTTCATTTTTTAATATTTGCTTATTATATGTCCGAACAAACCTTTATAATTTATTATTAATTTTATTGTGGAGGTTATACAACTCACTGTACATTATTCCCTTGACTCGAGAGGCTTAATAAGTGATAAGCCTTTTGGGATTATCGCGCTTGGTAGCATTTATAGCAAATTCTATTATAGAAATTTTTTTAAATTTTAAAGTATTAAAGTTAAGTTCGTTGTATAACCTTCTGAATACCCACCCAGCACTCGATGTTTCAGGATTACCTTATACTTTTACCTGACACTCAACGCGCAACACCACTCCTCCTTCGGAGTCGTGGTAACGCGTTTCGTGACAGGTAAAAGTATTATCCGGTAATCCTGAAACCTATTACATTCGATAACACCGGTAACACAGTAATGACACATGAATGACACAATAACACCGAACAACGAATAGACTTTTGACGTTTCAATCCATAGCAGGGCATGTAGACGGCTCATGAGCTCTTCCACAATGAAAACACTTCTGGCTACCCACTGGCTTAATAATATCTCAGCAACTTCCTAGAACCTGCACCTTGACCAACATGTTTTTTCGTATAAACTGCACTGGGCCCTGGACACTGCTATTTGGTTGAAATAATTTTGTTTGACCAAAACATAAAGCTAATTCCACAGCTGACTTGAATGTCTAGTTTTTGAATACGGGGTTTTGAATGATATCAAAGTGCATATTAGGTTGTTATGGTCAATCAACATACCCCTAACTCTATACACAAAATTATTCTCAGATTTGAAGCCGAAATCTATGAAAAAAGACACTCGGAAAAATTGAAAAATTGATAAACCACCCCAAATTGCTTAACACGATTTTATCTCAGGAACTATAAGTGCAAATGAGCTGAAATTTTCAGGGATTGTAGTCCTTTGAAAATGATAAAATTCAGTGAAAGATTCAGCTTTCTAACTATAATAGAAAAAAAGTTATGACCTTTCAAAGTTTTCCAAAATCTAAATCATTCTTCTCACTAAAACGATGAAATTTCAAATTTTTTTTTATCGAGATTTTGTATCCTAATGGTCAATCAACATCCCCTAAACTCCATACACTGAATTATTCTCAGATTTGAATCCGAAATCTATGAAAAAAGCCACTCAGAAAAATTGAAAAATTGATAAATCACCCCAAATTGCTTAACACGCCTGAAACCCTCGGAATTTATTACCTTACCAGGATGATATTTATTAGCCAGAGTTCGGAAACGGAAAAAATATCTATGTGATTATTCAAAATATAGTCCTTAATTCTATTCAATAGACTTTAAACAAACCAGCAAGTAGTTTCTATGTTTCTACAAGGATAAATAATGAGGTGTAATGTAAGTTTCCAGATTTTCGAAATTAATTTCTTCTCGGTTTTAGAATGCTTGAATTGGAAGGACGAGCGAAAAGTTCAGATTTAACGCCTATGGATTTTTAGTTTTAAGATCATATGAAAAAGATGGCCCATGGTAAGACTTGTTTTATTTAAAAAGTTGTTTGATTCGCTATTATTTACTCTAACCAAATTTAATGCCAGTGAATAATTCCTCTATACTATAATACTATGTGCTTTTTAAATAAATTGCATACTTTGATGAGTAAAATTAAGGCCCTGGTAATGTTAATCATTAATGAACCAGTAATCCCCCTTCCAAAAAAATAAAATAAACGAAAAAGTTATGACACATCAACCGTCTTAAATAGTTAATACATTTTCCAACTAAAAAAATCAATAGGCATCATTCTGATGACCTATAAAATGACGATTGGGGCGTAATTATAAGTTTTTCTATACAATTTCAATGGGGACCATGGCAGATGTTTCGCCTGGGCCATAAAATATGCAACACCGTAATTGGGCCTTTATATTTTCTTGGGATATGTTATTTAAGAATTAATTCATCGGGGGTTGATACAAGATAGACATATTTTTTAGAAGGTATTAATACAATTTGATGAATTATTAGGAAGAAAATCAAATATGTAATGTGAAGCTGAAGAATCTCACTGCAGCTGCTGGACGCTGCACAAGAGAGATTTTAAAAACTCTTGTGCGTGTGACAGCGGCTATTGTGGGTATTCTTATTCTACAAAACCACTCTGATCGTCTCAACTACACCAAAACTCTCTGGTCATAAGGTAAAAAAACAACTATAGCCAGATAATACATTCATATAATGGATAAATATTTATAGGAAAAATAGATACCAAACAATTGGTACATGTATTTGGAAGGGTAAAATGCACAATAAGAGAATAGTAGATAGAAATCCATATAATATTTGTTTACATCTAGTATTTTGTACTTAAATGATTAATGTTGTGTATGTTATAATTGGGTGGAAGAAGTTGGAATGGTTTTAGTAAACAGTCAATGTTCATAGACACGTAAATTTCAAATTGACAAAAGTTTCAAGGAATTAAAAAAAAAAAAAAACTGGGATAGACATATGGTTTGAAGTATAGCTATTTATACAGGGTGCCCAATGCATAAATTATTATTTGAATATTAAATATTTGCCGATACATTTTCGTAGATTAAATATTATATTCTTGTCTCACGATTCTGAAGTGCCACCTTTAATCTTCGCAAATGTTATTGTAGTTAACTTATGAAATATGATTATACCATTTTTTTCAGGTTTCTCGTGAAAAATGATTGAGTTAAAGAACACCGGAGAATACATATCAGATATCGTACTAATAGATGAAAATGAGGGGATACCTATAAAAGAAGAAGAATATTCTAATTCTAATGCAATTTACCAGGAAAATCAGAACCAGAAGAGAAGAAGACATTTCAACAAACAAGTATTTCACACATAATATTAAAACACTCAGTTCTGAGTATAATGAAGTTTCAATGCAATATATGCAATGCCAAAACTCCTAATTTTTCTCTCCATATTGTTGGCAAAACCCTGTAATTTTGAGAACTTCTCGGAACGCCCATTCGTTTTGATGAAACTGTGACTAAATGCCTAAATCGATTTGATTCAAAAAAAATAAAAAATATGGTACTTCTTGGACATACGATTTTGAAAGGATTGATAAGAAGTGATGGCACTGAACACTCTGTATAAAATTAAAATGTATTGCAAATTGCATTACATTTTTTTGCTTTTTGAAACCTAATCCACTAACACAATTCTAAGGGACAAAGATATTTTGTCGTATGCTTAAAGTGTAGCAAATGCTTTTACTCTACCTCCATCTCTTTTCATTGCATTGAAGCAGAATATGTTTATCTCGAGGAAAAGCATCTGCTTCTGTTTTATTCATATGAGCCACTTCTCTTAACAGCACAAACTTACAAAATATTTTGTAAATCAGCGTCACAATATCCATAATAAATTCTTCAGCTCTTAGATCCTACCTCAATTGTCAACAATTTTAGCAGCGACTCGGCCCTGATTGTAACCGTCCTCGAACAACAACTTGCACAGTACCTCCTTCAGTCTTGTTCTAGCCGGGTCAAATTTGTCATCTATCAGTAAACTAGCCCTTAGGTAAGGTACTGCTTCTTCAAATTTACCCTAAGACAAATCGTTTTGATAATCTTTAAAACAAAAACTTCAAACAAACACTTACCAACTTGATATAATTCTCTGCTACTTTAAAATGGTTCCACAAATTTGTGGGATTTTGACTCAGAGCTAAATGGGCAAGTTTAATAGCTTCTTCTGGCAAACCAACACTAAAAAAAACTCAAATTATATTTTGCCCTAGTTTAATATTACCAAACATACTTTCCCAATAAATGACTTAAAAACATTAAAGGAATGTCTAATTCAGCTGGAGAAACTTTAGTTATGGCCCCTCTGATACATACAGCAGCCTGTTCAGTGTTGCCATAAACTATCCAATATATTGCAGAGGCCATCAAAAGTTGCCAATTAGTTTCATCCTAGAAAAAAATCATTTAGCAGTTAATACAAATAAAGCCACTCTTTACCAGTGCCAAAGCCTTGGCAATTTTAGCTCCAAGTTCGCGCGTGTTCAACTTTCGATTGCCACAAACCAACTGCAACAGCTCAGTCAAATCTTTGTCGTAAGAATTGGGCAATTTCAAAGCCAGAACTTTAAGAGTGAGTTCATTTAAACCATACGGCATGTGCGGATTTAATACTTGCATACAATTCGGTTTGGGGGATTCCTTAGAGGTTTTCGTTTTAGTGTGTTTGATGTAAGAACTGACACTGGAAAATAAAAAAATGTGTTTTATTTGATTCAATGGATAATTATAATTAGTTTACTTACTCGATCATGTTTTCTTCTATGAAATCCCACAATTCTGAATACTTGAATGGAACCATTGGGTTTCCATACTCACAAACACTATTTGACAAAGTATAGGTCCCATATTTGTCATAAATGTGGAGCCTCTGCTCTTGATCTGGGCTCTCGTTAATATCCAGCGAAACTAGACAATAAATAATAATTTTATTCAGTTTTTTTTTTTAACGACGAGTGTCAATGAAAGACACAAAAACAATGTAAAGAAGTGGGAAGAAGTTGAAGATATTAATTCCCTAGAGATGGAGAAAATATTGTGATTCTAACCAGAATAAATTCAAATAAAGAAATAGTGTTGAACTTAGGTATAGAGGGTATATCGGAGAGTTATATCATATCACATAAAATCTGCTCAGAATTTTATAAAAAGTTTATTTCTGCAGAAATCACAAATTAGTCAGAGTGAATTTAATTGGTTGAAAGTAGATTTCTGACTGTTTTCAACCAATGAAATTCGGACTGACTGGTTTGCCATTTCTGCAGAAACAGACCTATTGAATCCAAAAATTCAATGACATACAGGAGGGTGTTTCATTTGAAAAACAAAGTTGATTTGGATAGCAAACAAACTAGAAGTGACAGAAACAATTCGCCTAGGTAGAAATGTGGGAAATTATTTACTTTATTACTGATCAACTTCAGGTCACTTTTTCGTATACGAGATAATTAAAAAGTTACAGGTATTATGCGCGACTTTTTTGCCAATCTGTACATTCAGGAGGCCTTGAAGAACTGCAGAAATAAGTGCTCCGGTATGGGAATAGAAGTGGAAGAACATTATTTGTCCACACTGTTCTTTGCAGACGATCAGGTAGTAATAGCTAGCTGTGAAAAAGACCTGGATAACATATATAGAAAGCTTAAGGATGAATATGAACAAAGGAGAATGAGAATAAACCAAAGTAACACAGAATATCTTTGTATTAGAGATGATAATGAAGACCCGAATCTTAGCTTAAGAGATCTGAATAAGGAATATAAATAGTTACCAGAGTACTAAATAGTTACTGAATTCTTTACTCTGGAGTAGTCAGATTTCTATAAAAACAAAAAAGACAATCTATGGAGCAATTGTAGAGCCGATATTGACATACGGAGCTAAATGCTGGCAGCTATCGGAACGAAATAAAAGAAAGGAATAGAAGAATATATAGAGCCACCGAAAGAGTAGACACCCGAGAGCTCATATGGTACCTATGGGTGCAACCAGGAGGAAGAGATGAAGACCGGTGGTAACATGGAAAAAAAATATAAGAGCGATAGACAAGAAAAAATGGAAAGACCGTAAAAAATGGCAAACGAAACTCGTCGATAATAATAAATCAGTTTCCAACAATAATAATTATCCTTACCATAAAAATCTCCAACTTTATTATACTCCTTCAGAAAATGTTCAGCTCCCAGAGATAGTCCCATATGGACATGATGATGAATGTGCGGATAATAAAATCCATCTTTAGCATCTCTAAGACGTTCCCGTTCCTTAATAAAATATTCATCGTCAGTGGTCTCTGCGGCCACTAGAGAAGCCATTATTTGTTGTCCCAAACTTTGGACAGCCTCGTCCTTGCATTGCTCGTAGCTCTCAGATGTGCGCACCCCTGTCGAGTCGATGACAATTTGTTTTTGCGTTTTGAAGCATTGCATATTTTCTTTTTTGCAATTTGTGCGGTCTTCGTCACAAACTATGGCTTCGCCTTTGAATGAGGCTGATTGGGGACAATGTAATTTTGATTCTATTGTAGGTTTTATAAATTTTGGCCCTAAATTCGTTGTTTTTTGTAAGATTTGAATATTAAATTGGATTCAATTAAAGTTACCTGCTCCTAACTTGATCCTGCATGACCATATTTTTAGAAGTTTTTCTGCTAGGCCGTCGTAAAACTTGGGATCTACTCGCATGGTGTTTTTCAAATAATAAATTGCCAACAAAGGGTTGTTGTTTTCATAATGCAAAAGGGCCAAAAGGAAATTTGTACTTGGTTCAACGTAGTTTATTTTGAAAGCTAGAGTGGCAAATTTTAAAGCTTGTTCCTAGAAGAGACTTGAGTCAGAATATATTTAGCGTAAGTCGGAAAACTGTATACCTACTTTTAAGCCTAACAGATAACTTGTTGAGCCTAATGATACAAGAACGACGTCAGTGTCATCTTTTGGGGCGCTTTGGAAAGCCATATCCAGACAGTCTAGGGTTTTTCGAACATTTCCTCTGACACGCCAGTATAGGCTTGCTAGTGTTGCCAAAACCCACTTGGGGGCAGTTTTCTGGTAAATTCAGAAAAAAACATTACAGCTATCAAATATACATATACAAACAAAACTATTACTTTTTCCATAGCACTAACAATCCTCTGTCCAATTTCGTGTTCATCTGCGTTTCCCTCATTGACATACCTCAAAAATTCTTTTTTTAAATGCGTAGTAGCCTTAAGCTCAGTATCTAACAAATATTTTTCAGTAATGGGAATAAATTTTTCTCCATTAACATTATCCCCTTCGCAAACGGGTGGGTACCATGGTAAATCATGTTGGGAACCGTCTGCTAACTTCAAATCTTCAGTGATAGATTTTTTTAGTCTGAAATAAATTTAAATATATATTTTCATATTACTTTCTTTGCCGACTTTCAATTAAATCATTAAGGCAAACTTGAGAAGCCTACTCCAGAGTCAATCTCAATCTTATAGTGGCAGTAGAGCGTTTTAAAGCACAAAAATCAGCCAGATGTAGAAGATGTGTTCCCCAAGTGAACAGAAATATTATCTAATAAAAATTGCCACTTTCTTGAAACTAGAAAACCTGTACTTAATGATAAACTGGTCATGGCTCCAGGGTTTAGGTATGCTACGGGTAGATTCTATCAGAAGAAAATGCAAAGTTTCCTAAAAAAAAAAAAATATTATTGGAGAACCAATAATGAGTACAGAGAATTATAATAGACTTCTTGGAATATCTGGAAACCCTAACAATGAATGGAAAAGTGTGGATATACTCGGCCGAAGAAAGACTGCTACAAAGAGAAAATGCAACATTTCTCTATCAGAAAAATACCAACACACATTTTCAAAGCAGTAATACCCTAAATATAATGTGGAAATATCAGTGTAGGTAACATATATGAAGCAATCTTGAGTCTTTCCGACAAATTAACAGTTGGTCCTGATGGAATTCCTAATTTTTTTATTAAAAAGTGTGTATGTATAATCACTAATCCTCTTTTTTTTTTTGTTGTTTAACCAGTCACTAGAATGTGAAACCTATCCAGATTACTGGAAACACAGCTACTAACTACCCATCTTTAAAAACGGTGATAGACAGAATGTGCAGAACTATCTTAGTATCTGTACATACACTATCTGATATACCAAAATTGTTTGATGAATTGGTTTGCAATCAGTTAACATTTGCATGTAAATGTCTGATAAATGAAGGACAGCATGAGTTTATTAAAGGAAAGTCCACTGTAAAAAATCTGTTATAATTACCAGACATCACTCATGAGTGCATTGGAATATAGGGCACAGGTTGATGTTGTTTATACCGATTTTTCGAAGGCATTTGACAGCGTTGACCATGGGGTATTGATGCAAAAACTGTTAGACATAGGCTTTAATAGACATTTGGTTAAGTGGTTAGGTAAAATCTTGTCTGACAGAATACACAGAGTTAAAATTGGTAATTCTAAGTCTGACATCATATTAGTATCATCTGGAGTTTCACGAGGTGGCCACTGCTCACCTCTGCTTTCTAACCTGTTTATTCATAATATAGTTACACGTGGTTACACGTAGTTACATGTTTCAAATACAGTACACCTTTGTTGTGTGCTGATGATTTAAATTTGTATAAAGATGTGTCTAATGCATGTGATCAACAATTACAGGAAGACCTAAATAGTCTCTTTGAGAGTTGCGTTATTAATAAGTTCAAACTCAGTGTTAACAAATGCTTTCATATAAGTATAGAAGTTTTCATGGAATAAGAAGCAAACTCGATTTTATGTACTCTATCAATAATCTGCCCTTGAATCTGCCAATAAAATATGTAAGTAAAGTAACCGACCTGGGTGTAGTATTTGATGAGAGTTTAAAGTTTATGGAGCATATTAATAATGTAATTGTAAAATCGTCCAAAATGTTGGGTTTTGTTCTAAGGAGCTGTAAATTCTTTGGTGTAGACTCACTTAAATGTGTGTATACAAGTATAGTTCACTCAAAACTTGAATATGAGTCAATTGTATGTTGTATGGTCACGGTTTTACAACATGCCTAAATTACTGTTGGAGAGAGTTCAAAATAGATTTCTCAGATACTGTTCAGTAAGACTGAATATGAATATAGTTGATCACAATTATAAAGAAGTAAGAACTATAATGGATATGGAATTATTAGAATATCTACGTCTGAAAGCTGATTGGTGCATATTGTAAGATATTATTAACTCCCAAATTATTACAACTAATTCAGTTTCATATACCATCAAGGCGGTTACCTTACAATTATCTGCTTGGCATAAATTATCATAGAACAAACTATGGCCTTAACCCACCAATTGATAGGTGTATGTCTGTGATAAATCACAATAACATAGAAATATTCGGGATAAGTAAAAGAATGTAGTAGAGAATAGGATGGGATGGGATATTGTATTGTATTATTTGGTAATTAGTTAGGTAATACTAGTAAGTAATAGGTTTGTTTCTGCAGAAATCACAAACCAGTCAGAGTGAATTTCATTGGTTGAAATTAGTTTTCTGACTGTTTTCAACCAATGAAATTCGCTCTAACTGGTTTGTGATTTCTGCAGAAACAGACCTAATATTGATATGTTGCCAACTGTAAATAAATAAATAGAAAAAAAAAATTGAATCAGTGTTGTAGGGATGTTTTCAAGTCTTGTAGAAGATAGAATACAACTGTGAATAGACTCTTCTACACCTGTGAATGTATGAGTTTCTTCTCAAAAACTGACAAAAATGGTTTACCAATTTATCATTAAGTATTAGGTACAGAAAGGAGCACAAACCAAAAAATGTATACCCTATAATAATAAAGTAAATGTATATCAGAAGCAACCTTTGGTCTTTTTGGTACATTTATGTTATTTTGCCATTTAATTATTACACCATTTAAATTCAATTAATAATAACTAACATCTTTATTCATAGACACATACAGAAAACAAATGGCTAAAATCCAAATACTCACAAATATCCTTTATTTTCAGGAGGAAGAAAAACTGGCAAGTCTAAATCATCTCTATCGTCCAATGGAAGGTTCCATTCTAAACATTCTTCCTTTTTAGGCCATCCTGTAACATCGAAATACTGATTGTCCTTTGTAGACATGCTAGTAGGAAATTTCGGGTATCCAATTTTAGTGGGTTCATCTTTAAGCTTGGCCCTATTGAAATTAAAGTCTTCAAACAGATGAGCTACGCTTAATTTTTGTTTTTCACTCTCGACTATTTGGAATAGACTGTGTAAGTTAAGTTTATCTACTTCTGAAGCTTTTTCATAAAAATCACAGGATATCACTGGTTTGCCTCCACTTGTCTTTTTAATACATCTTTGTACTTTTTTGGGCGAATCCAAAATATCTGGACTTAGAGGGTCATATTGATAATCGAATGATGCAGTTTCCCACATCAGACGTTCTTGCAATCTAAGCCATTGTTGCTGAATGCTGTGATAATCGTGCAACTCTGACAAAATATTTTGGAGATCATTTTGGAATGTTGTGAGTGCAATTTCTAATTTGTGATAACACAAAACTGCGTGCCTATTACTTGCAGCGTCTCGATTGTGTGGTTCAAATTCCAAAAACTTTTCATAGTTTGTAATGGAATTGTTAAAGTCCCTCATTGCAGCATAAATGTTGCCCATTGCAAAATAATGCTTTGGTTCTTCGGGAGCAAATTTTATAGCACTGTTTAGTATTTGTATGGCTTCTTTGGAATGGTGTGATTGATGCAGTATTCCTGCTAAGTTATGTAGTGGAATGTCTTGGAAATTACCAGTTACAAACTGTATAGCTAACTTTAGGCAATCTATAGCTTTGTCTCCTTCTCCTTTAATTCTCCAATAAAATGAGGCTAAGTTATAATGTACCCAGGAAGTAGAATTTTCTTTTAAAGATTTGACAATGAAATAACCAAAATGTTCCAAGGATTTCATTGGTAAAAATGTTTTTTTTAGAGCTTCTTCTGGTTTAAGAATCAAATTTGTTTTATTTACAAATGATTCTGACCATTTGGCTGATGTTAGTTGCATACATACAGGTACTTTAAGCTCTTCGGTGTCTTTAAACTTATCCATATTAATTTTTCTTGGTACTGGAATGCTAATACCTCGTTCAGTGCCATTGATAGCTATGTTATTATACAAATCTAAATCCGAGAATAATTTATCGGCAGCCACACAGTCTACATCTTCGGTAGTTACGCGCGAGCCTACATTAGAGTTTTTTTCAATGTCGATCCATTTTTTTTCAATCATGTTTTTTCTAGAGACAAGATCTTCGTAGAGGTCATTTATGCTGTTTTTGCGACTTTCTTGGTCCAGCAGGGCCAAGAGGTCGTCGGGTTTGCGAAGATCAAATGGAGATTCCAACTAAAAACGTAATTTACTGGGTATTTTTGTTTGAAAAATTGAAATTACAAAAGAAAACATAACCTTAAAATACTTACAAATGCCTGTATTTTACCGCTTTGCGTGACTATCCAATGATTTACAGCGTCCAAATGTCTAAAACTACTGAAAAATAAATAGATGAATAATACGCGTTTTATCATTATTGTTAATTAGTTAACAAAATTAAAATTTTAAAATCTTTATGGAATGAATTAAAACAAACATGACAGGATAATAACCCAGAATAATAACAAAGATGTGACATATGACAAATAACAGCTGATTGGTAAGGGGAGTGTTCAGAAATACCACACCGGAGTATGTTCCGAAATTCCAAATGAAAAGATATCAAAAGGATTCATTAAAGATACATCATGAAGAACCACTTGCTTCATTATACCTATAGGTTATCTCTGTATATGAAATAACATGAAATAATACCATATACCTGAAGGTATGTCATCCAAATATCATCGACCAGAATAAAACTTAAGGCTGGTTCATGCATATTCTTTTTCTGTTTCTTTAACTTTTTCCTTATGCATAGGCTTTTCTTTTTCCGTAAAATTTGAGGTATTTCATGCACCAAAAATAAAGAGTTTTTATGAGTCTTTAATAACGACATTGTTGATGTGTATGAGAAACTGCAAACCAGGGCCTTTGCCAGGGGGGGGGGCATTGGGGAGCAATGCCCTATCTTTCAAATGATGATGCCCTACCTTTAAAACACAACATGCGTTAAGGTTTCTCTAGGAAATTTGAAAGAGTAGACAATTAAATGAATTGAAGTAAATTGAAATCGAGTAAGTGCGAGGATAAGTGTTTCCGGAAACGTCTAAATGTATGCAACAATGTTTGACATTTGTTATTTGCACAGAGGAAGTTTTTTTTTTGAAAGAGTGCCAATGGCTCAAGGCGGCGCGAGAATCAGCGCCATTTTGTTCATTGAGGTTCCTAAAGTTAACAATAGGTTGCCTGATAATGGGTAACTTAAATGACGCATCTAGGGTGCCTTGGAGATTTTCATTATATTGAGGCATCACAGATGACGTCATAAAGTTATTAGGCAACCTAATTTTCTGAAACAACATTGATTTATTGAAAAATTTGCCTTCGGGGCCATTACCCCTCTTTTGTTAACCTATAAAAAGTTTAAGTGGGGGGGGGGGGGTATGCCCTATGTTAAATTTGTTATGCCCTATCACAAATTTGACTCTAGCTACCTACGGCCCTGCTGCAAACGGTTTCAATAAAATTTTCTTTGTCAATTGAGATTATTGTTTGGTCTTATCAGGCTTTTATAAATATTATTTTCAATTCCGCAGACACGTATTTCAAGACGTATTTGTTGTTTATTTTTAACGATTTCCTGTTTTTAAAGTTAAAGCGAAAAATTTGGATGTTTTCATCTACTGCGCAGGCGCCGTCGATTTTATCCGTAACTTTATCCGTAAAGATAAAAGTTAACTATCTTCAATAGAGAATAAAGAAAATGATACGGAAAAGTAATATGCATGAACACCTGCATATAAATACATGCAACTTATACATTACTTACGGATATAGATAGTGACTATAAGTTACAGAAACGGATAATATTTTCATGCATGAACCAGCCTTTACTAACTTAGATTTTCTGAGCTCTTTTACCAATTTGCCGCCCTACGCCTGTTTTAGGCGCGTAGCCAGAAAATTCAGGTGGGGTGGGGGTTTCGCTATTGAAATTAAGAAACATTGCATGACCATAGGGATGTCAGAAAAAAATTGCGCCGCAGGCGAAAATTTTGTAGAATTTCAAGGTCAATGCTTTATATGAAGAGAATAAAATTCTGAGGGTAAAAAAGTATAATATGCTAAAAGGTTTCGTGTTTCGTGGTTTTTAATTATATTTTCTGATCAAGTAGGGGGGGGTTTAACCCCTAAAACTTCCCCCGTTGCTACGCCCCTGGCCTGTTTGGAAAGGCCGCCCTCATGTTGGCACAAGCGGTGCGTACCTCAAAAAACGGGGGGCCATAAGAAGATACAGGACTAGGACACGGACAGTGGCGTACATAGCCAGGCTTTTGGAGGCGGACGGGGCACGCGTTTCGCGTTGGATCTTCGGTTTTCTTTTCCCGATTATTTTTTGTCTTTTTTCTGATTCTTTTTTTAAAATTTTGCCGCCTCCCCAGATTTGCCGCCCTACGCCTGTGCGTACTGTGCACTGTGCGTATAGGGAAATACGGCACTGCACAACTTCAGAAATGTTTTTTTCCCAGAGCAAATTGAGTTAATAAAAGAAAAGCGCACTTTCTTGTCCGTTCCTGGAATGAGAAATCGTTTCTACAGGCGGTTAAACTCTTGTTAAACTACAAACGGATGATGGTCAACGGCATGAGAATGCAGAAGGACAGAAGCAGAGCTGTCAGTACTTCAAGTAAATTACTTGGAAAATGTATTTCAATTACTTTTTAGTATTTGAAGTACTATAATTCAAATACTTTTGTTTTTGAATATTTGTACTTGATTCTGCAATTACTTTAAATAAAATATTTGTATTTGGTACTTGGATTTACAAAAAAAGTAATTCAAATACTGGACATTTGTACTCAAAATACTTAAAATATTTCAAATACCCCAGAAAATAAAAGGTATTTGAAATACCTCAGAAAGTAATTCAAATACTTCACCAAATGTGAAATCAACATGTCCTACAGCAGATATGACCGACGATTTTTATGAACTGGATGGTTCCTCCACTCCTTGGAGGGTCTTTAAAATAAAAAGAAAATTCGAACTGGAAATTCTTCAATATGCAGAGGATATTAGTATAGATATAAAATGCTTGGATAGGTTTCCTCTCATAAAAGAAGTTTTTCATAGGTACCTACCTACAATACGTGTCTTCCGTCATCAGCCCCTGTAGAAAGACTTTTTAGTTTTGCAGAAATAGTGAACACACCTCGAAGACTTAACAATCCCACTGCACTTTATTTCTTAATCAACCTTTTCTGGATAAATTTTTAAATCGTTAAATTGAAAGTAACTACAATCTGCAACTGGAATCTTGGAATCTGGAATCTCTGTAGTACTTTTTTATAGGTATTACAATATACAGGGTGTTCCTAAATATCATGTACAAACGGAAGGGGTAGATTCTTTGGCTTATTTTATGACTAAAATTTCTAATAAACATAGATCCGCAAACGCTTGGTTACCAATCTACAGGGTGTTGAAATTTCAATATTTTTTTAGTTTTTTTTTATAGCTCCTGCAATATTTGAGGAATTTAGTTCAAATTTGGATTATAGGTTAGGTACGCAATAGGCGCTAAATGATTGCACGTGTCAAACGTTTGCCAGAATTTACAGGGTGATGTTTTTTCAGCGGTCATGCCCCCTTTTCTGCCCCTGAACTTTTTTGCGATGGTAGATTTTAAAAAACAAAATAATTTTTCTACCTTATTCAGAAACTTTTTGTTCTCTTGTAGTTTTTTCGTATAACCGACTGTTATCGAGAAAACAATTAAGAGACAAATCTCTGTAATTTGCTAGATGAAACTACAGTAACTCAATGAACCTTTTCTACCTACAGTGACGACAATAGAGGTTCCGCCGCCATATTCTTGCTCATTTTCAATATAAATACATTAAAATTTGAACACCCTGTAGAGTGGTAATAAATCGTTTACAGACCGATGTTTATTAAAAATTTTAGTCATAAAATAAACCAAAGAATCATCCCCTTCCGTTTGTACATGATGTTTAGGAACACCCTGTATATTTTCTGCTTTCAATACAATTTAAAAAAAAAATCATTGAATAATTTGAATTCCTTTTTAGTGGGTACTTGAAGTACTTCTTAATATTTCAAATACACATAAGTATTTCAAATATTTAATTAAGTATTTGAAATACTTACAGAGTATTTGAATTATTTTACTTGAAAAAATCAAGTACTAAATTAAAGTACTTGAAACTTGAAGTACTTTTTAAATTGAAAGTATTTAGTATTTGTACTTGCAACATGATTTTCCCGTAATTGATACTTGGTATTTGAAATTTGAAATACTATTTACCAATATTTGTGACAGCTCTGGACAGAAGCAACCACTGCTTTAAAGACCTATACAAATGGTATCTCTATGAGTATCAAGATGTACTACAAGAATAAATCATCAGCATCTGTATAGTTTTGAGTTCCACGATCGGATCTCCAAGAGTGACACTTTTGATAAATGATAATACAGTTAAATTCAATGCAAAAACGAAATAGCTATTTATGCAACAAGCAAGCTGTGCAAAAACCTTTTTTTCTACTATCGTGCGTAAAGTACTCACTTTACGCACTATTCAGAAGACGTAAAATTCCACTTCACGCACTAGTGCGTAAAGTAATTCACTTCACGCGCTGGTGCGTAAAGTAATGTCAATGACAGATGTCGACACTGTCAATTTAGTATTTTTCTGGTAAATCACTTCACGCACTAGTGCGTAAAGTGGAAATACTTCACGCACTAGTTCGTAAAGTATTTGTCCAAATCTATTTTTTCACATATATTTGATTGGTAGTAGAAAAAAATTTGTATGCAATACGTGCGTAAAGCACCTTTTTTCTCTCATGTGATTGTCGCACTCGCCTTCGGCTCGTGCGTCAAAATTCACATTCGTGAAAAAAGGTTCACTTTACACACTTGTTGCATAAATAACTATTTTCTACTACCGTGCGTAAAGTATTCACTTTACGCACTATTCAGCAGATGTAAAATTCCACTTCACGCACTAGTGCGTAAAGTAAATCACTTCACACACTAGTGCGTAAAGTAATGTCAATAATAGATGTTGACAACTGTCAATTTAGTATTTTTCTGGTAAATTACTTCACACACTAGTGCGTAAAGTGAAAATACTTCACGCACTAGTGCGTGAAGTATTTGTCTAAATCTATTTTTTTAACATATTTGATTGGTAGTAGAAAAAATTTTGTATGCAATACGTGCGTAAAGCTCCTTTTTTCACTCATGTGAAGTTTTGATTGCTACCTTCAATAATATTCCAAGCAACTGTTCTGGATTCTCCTGTCAACCTCGCTTACCGAAGATGTATGGGTTCGGTTCGGCTTATATACCTGTTCGGCTATTCTTTGATCATATCAAGGTCAACATTTGTTGCGTTTATATTTCACGAAATTCATTTGTTGAATGTTATCAATCGTGCTGTAATACTTATGCAAACCTCTGAAAAATCAATACCTATGTGTGGTGACTTTAACCT